TGTTATTACACAATGATAAGGATTACAAGTACACAGGCTTAATTTAAATGTATTTATTACTAGCGATGCGCCTCAGCTGGTGCAGCACTGGTGATTTATGGATCTCGACAACAGTGCCATCTACCGGGTCCAAATGTAAACATAAACCATCTAGGGATCCGTCCAAACACACACAAACATTTTCATTGAAATTGGTTGGATGGTTTCTTATGTTTTGTCTATAACGGACATAGGTAGAAAGATTTTAGTGTTAGATATATTTCTAAAGGTTTTTTGAAAATAACTTGATGGTAACATGTACATTTATGATATTGTAAGCAATCAGAAGGCATTTTTAATTATAAGACATATGATATAAGACTGTTGTCTTCAATATCCATACACTTTTTATCTCTGCAAGCTTTCAGCCTGCAAGGCATACTGATTTGTTCTAAGCGATCCACCTGAAAAGAAGTTAATGACAATTGTAAAGGTGTCTTAACTAAATAATAATTCTTATCAATATATTATTTTTTCTATATTATATAGGAATTAAAAGGACATTTTTAATAATAAGAGATATGAGATAAGACTATGCCTTCAATGTCAATAAACTGTATTTAACATACTGTGAGCATTTTCCTATCTCCTTTCATATATTAAATAATAAAGAAATTATTATAAATTATACAGCATTAATCAGCTCCAGCTGATCAATTATACAGAAGCAGTAATTATTGATTAACATCAATGATATTCTACTATGTAACAGTTGGCTCACATTTTATTTTCACTGGTTTCATGTACATAGGAGACAAAATATTATAATGACAAAGATATTATTGTTATATTAAGTATATCTGATTGTAGATGACAAAATAATATTCCTTTGTGCAGAGTGAACAACACAGCTGTCTAAGCATAATAGATACAACCATTACACTTTTTTTATGCAAACTATTATTATTAAACTTTATATTTGCTTCTAGTACAAATAATTACTACAATTTTTACACAAAAATATATGTACCATTTATATTGCCTATCTACTATGGTGTATCATCTGGCTTAACAAAAAAGCCATTAGCAACTTGCTGAATACATAAGGTACCTACCTATTTGTACACAAATGCAGTTATATGAATTGCTCTTCAAAACCGTCTTTAAGTCCCTCGACCCAAAGATTCTAATTTTCTTTTAACATTATAATAACTTCTTATGTGCATTTATTCTATTTATTATTTAATTTAGATTTTAATAATAACATAAACTTAATACTTTGTCACTTTTAACAAACTATTAAGGTTCTACGACTTGTTTGTTATTTGTATTTGTTTTAGGTAAAATCTACAAACTTAATAATAGATTTTCACAACTTATAATAGGATAAACTCTTATATTAATTAACCTAAACTCGTCAGTTTTATTTGCGAATTTTACCACAAAAAAATAAAAAGAGAAAAAATTTTACCACAAAAAAAACATACGTACGTGTGTCAATTAATATTTGGCTAACCTTCCTGATAATTGATAATATCCATATTTTCTATATTAGTCTAGTAATGCTTGTAAATAAAAACTTCATTTTGTTCTTAGTTCTTACCATAATGATGCGACTCCAATCATGTTTTATTTCACTCGAGTGAATCGAGTGAATTTGTCCAACTCGATAATCGATGGAAAATAAATTTTACCGAGTTACTGAGTTAACTCGGCGCATCGTATAGATTCAGAGGGTGCTATATAGATACACTAATTTACTTGTATATATAATAAGTCGCTGCGGGTGACATCACAATCACAAGTTGCATTCAAATTCAAACTTGCATCTGGCATGTTGTAAACAAACCTGAACTTAGTTTAATTTATGATATTGATTTATAATTTTAATTTCATGTTGCCACATATTACTTATTTATAAAGTTACATATTTAAAAATGGTTTAACTAAAGTAATCGCTACTCTCAACTCTAGTGATAAACTTTTCTGTAAATAGTCGATTTACTTATATTAACTAGTGTACAACTAGAATGACATACATAAATAAATTAACCCGAGTGGCTCGAGTCACAAAACTGTTATCGAATCGCATCTTTATCTTACGGCCAGTACAGTGTTTGTCTACAATTTAGTGATGAAATCGACTTACTAATTCGAGCAATTTATTGATATATTATGTAATAAATAAATTGATATTAGGTAATATGTTTATAATGTTGTATCAATTTATGTTATATATAAATTGATTATACACACTTTGGATAGTCAAATTATTAATAACATTAAGACTTACGTCATAACGTTAGAGTGATATCATTTTATGAAGATAGTCGATATGCATACCAAAAATAATATATAACTACTTAAGTGTAGTTATAATAATTGTGTTATATGGAAGAACAATTATAAAAATAATTTGTGACAAACATTACCTTAGCCAATGATCAGAACACGAATATCAAAACAACTAATTTTTTTTTCAGATTTCTTGATTCCGTTTACATTTTTGAAAAATCTATAGGCCATTTACTATTATAATTTGGTGTTTTTTTCAGTGTAAATACAATTAAATGACGTTAATATTTCTAGTGGGCCAAAAATGATTGTCTCCCCCCTTCAATATTCCGTCAAAATTCAAGCGGTCAAATTTAACCGCACCTATCCACAGCATTTTAACCCATAAACAATTATGTTTAGATACTACTTTTCTATGCAGAATTTTGGCATTATAGAATCAATAAGTATTTATATCCTTTAGTGGAATAAAAAAACAGTTAGTCTATGCATATTAATTTATATTCTACGTCCATTATGTACGCCATTTTCATTTGAATGTTGTTGTGTTGGTTTTTGGATTTTTCTAGTATTTTATTACTGTTTTAGCATAGTGTTTATTACAAAATTGATATAAAAGTTTTTGTGTGAATATAATTTATCTTTTTACATAAATAATTTCGAGTAATATATAGAAAAAAATTGTGATTTTCACACTGCCGACATCCGCTTGGTATGATTTTTTTTTTTAATCAAAATACCATAAAGTCTTTTTGTAATGAAGTAAAACCTGAATGTTGTTTAGAGCACAGGATAGAGAATGTTGTATAGATTTTATAATGCTAAACCTCTTCATAGAAAAGTAGTCTCTAAATATAAGTTTTAATGGTTTTAAATGCTGTGTTTGGGTGCAGTCGTATGGCACCGCTCGGGATTTGCCAGGCGCATGCGACTGCATGGGAATTTTATGGGGATTGAAAGGTTAACAAAATGTTGATCCATTTTTGTTTGCGTGTGCGATGATGATGTATGATGAAAATGCTAGAAACATATTATGGTTTAGAAGAACCATGTATTTTTATGACCGATAGAAGAATAAAATACCCAGATTGGCGTTGTTGATCAACCAGATAGACCGGTGATCTGTGTTTCGTGTGATGACTGTAGAGAAGCGGGAACCATTTTTACAGTAAAAACACATTTTATTTTTCTCCTCAGAGGTGACAACTCATGTACATTTTGATTCTTAATCGAGAAAAAATACATTTTATTGTTTTTTTTTATATTTACGCGAACACACATTGAATAAAACTCTGTGAATGGATTTTATCTTATCTTTATGGACGGTATTTTATTTATCTTTATGATTTTATCTTTATGGAGAGTATCTCAGTCCTCTTGTGACTCTGGGTGTTACAAAGTATTTGCACGTCGGGAATTAAAAATAAGTGAAAATTAAAAATAGTTTTAATTAATAGATGCAGTGGACTACAACTACCATCTTGATAAAACCACAATGCAGTTACAACAGGTGTCTGTGAGTTAGTTCATCACCCATATTTTATGGACAAAAAATCCTCCCTACAAAAATGAAAAAGTTAAAATCCAGCAGTGGACTTTTAAGCATAAAAATATCGATTACGTGATATTTATTACGTGACGATTAGTAATAGTCAAATTATTAATAACATTAAGACCTACGTCATAACGTTAGAGTGATATTATTTTATGAAGATTGTCGATACGCAAACCAAAAATATATAACTACCCTCTGTAATAACAATTGTGTTGGATGGAAGAACAATAATAAAAATAATTTGTGACAAATTGACGCAGCTTCGTTCAGCTAATTTGAATTGCGTAACTCGAGTTCAAAGTCGAGTTACCAGAATTTCAACTCGAGTTAACTCGAGTCGATTTTTTTCCGAGTTGGCCATCTCTAAGACATATATTATTTTAAATAGTACATTACCAAAACCAATGACCTGAACGAAAGTATCAAAACAACTCATTTTTTTTTCACATTTCTTGATTCCGTTTAGGTTTTAAAAAAATGTTTAGGCTGTATATTATATAAATCGTTTTTTTTCATGTGATACTATTGCGGGCCGCTAAAATTTCTAATGGGCCCAAAAATGATTGTCTCCTTTCAATTATATACTTGTATAGTTCTTTCGTTAATTAACTATTAAAAGGATAAAACTTTTTTTTTTTTTAAATTAGAGTTATCCCACCAAAAGAATAAATTTGAAAAGGGGGCTAAGTTCGGGTTAAACGACTTCAGGGTTATGAGCTTTGACGATAAAAGAGTTACCTACGAACTGAACGCGCGTCAAGCTCCGTAGTTTTGTCATATCATCATCAAACAAAGCGTCTGCACTTCCGGAGACTTTTTTACTGGAAATCAGGCATTCCATCTTAGTTTTTGGGGGGACAACGCAACTGCATTTTGATTTTTACAGCCTGGCCACGGGACATTCGCCGTAGCGAAAATTCGCGCGGCGCGAACGGCGAGGCATCGTAAAACAAATGTATAGAAATGTAGAATGTACGGACCATGCCACGCGTAGCGACGAGTGGCGAAGCGACCGGCGAAATTTACCGAGCGAATCGCGTGGGCGACTGGCGACGCGGTGAGTGACAGAAACAAATGTATGAATCAGTACAGTGAAAGCCACGGAGCCGAGCGGCAAACGCGGCGAATAGTATAAAGAACAAAATATTTTAGTTGTTTTCGCCGCGAAAAAATGAATACTGAAATACTTATTGCCGAGATTCTTGCTAGGCCAGCTATTTGGCAGTCTAGCCACCCACAGCATAAATTCAAACACGTAGTTAAAAGATTATGGGAAGAAATAAAAATAAAATTTTCAGAATATAAAGGTAAGTAGCTTTTTTATTCATAGGTACTCAAACAATTAATTAATAGGTTACAAAGTAGTCGTTGAAGTGGTTTCTTATGTCTACAGCTTGTAACGTAGCTCGATTATTCCGCCGAGACGTTATATTAACTTGATTAGCTCAGACGAAATAAAAACTCTAGACAGGTAGACAGAGCGCTGTCAACAAAGTGAAGTGAGGTCGGTTTGGTGTGTGCACTGAGTGTTGCCGTGCAGTTAAAACTTATTACCCTATTATAATATTGTCTAAGTACTATCGTGGATAAGTAAAAAGATAAATTAGCAATTTTTTAAATTTTATACTTCACTTTAAGTAGTATATAAGTATGTATGTTTCGATTAAGTAGGGGAAAAATAAAACAATAGGTATATGAAAGAAACATTATTATTATTTTAATAGCCTTTTTGTTGGGTCAATTTATTGAAATATTGCCGTTTACCGTCCACCGTTTTGCAAATTGATAAATATTTTTCAAATATGCATCTTATTAAGCTTATTTTATGCTCTTGGCCAGCATAATTGTGCTCAGTCTCCAATTTAGAGAAAACGTTATCAGTACCAATAAATTGTTTTAAAATATTAATAACAACTGATTTGTGTTGGTTTTCAGTAACTATCACTATGTTTTTATTACATAATTTACGCACAATAGTTTCACAAATTACGCAAATTTCGAAAAAGTCTTTCGACGGAAATATTAAGCCACCTTTATCTTTTAAAGATATCAGTTTATGTTAGTCAAATATCACATATAATATAATAAACGACATTTTTAAATTTATTATTATATAATACTAAACATAATATAGAAAAATTGGAAATAACCTTTGGATATCCGTTTCGTACCACACGACGAAGTCCTTTATTTGTGTAATAAAAATCGTCATCTTCAAAATGTGTCGAACAAATTAACTACGCTGCGCACCGTTGGATTCCACGATGGCTCATTCCGGCTAACTCGAATCACTTCTATCCACTTCTCTTTAATGTCTTTATTTCTGATGGGGAACCTTAAAATATAGATTTTTGATGATGATAAAACATGGAAAAACAAAAAATACGTGTGGCACTCGGTGACTGCCGCGGTAAAGCTATTGCATAGCATTTTTTATCAACTTATGCAATTATAATTATTTATTTATTTTATTTATGCAGTTAAGTCTTTGATATTAAATCAAGTTACACTTTTTGAGCGTGGTGACCGATAAAGAAAACATTTTTTTTCTCTTATTGAATAAATGAGAAGTTAATATTGTTTAAAATATTTTTAATATCTTACATGTAGGTTATTCAGGAATTATTATCATTGAGTTAGCAGCTAGTGTACACGCATACGTCTAGTCGCACGCACACAAACACCGTGGCGAAGTCTGCCGAGTGCCGAAGTCTGCCGAAATGAAACGACGTTAGACGATGCACGGCTTTCAACGCCACACCTCCGTGCCCGCCGGAGTGGGGAGCGTGAGGTTTTTTTTCGTTACGGAATTTCTGGATTCGGTCCCCGCGCTCAAGGCCCGCGATAGAAGCTATGCAATAGCTTAAAAAATAATGCCTATTCACACTTACATTAATTTTATGAATATTAAAAGTAAAATAGAACTAGGTAAATGAACGTGTTACATTAAGTTTCGCGTCACATTAATAACTTACTAAATAAATGGGGACTAATGTGACGCTTACTAGTGGCAACACTTGTGGAGGTTTTATGTTCCAAGCTGTCGCAATAAATAATAAAAATAATTTATTGAAAATTTGGATTTTTATGTTTACTTACGTATGAAATGTGATTCTATCCTGTTTTTTATTTCTGGAAGATTGGTTTTTACACCCGTTTACAACACAATTCGGCATTTTTTCTTTAAAAACTGCGAATTATTATAGCGTACTCCGTGCGCTGGAATAGCTCGAATATCTCATAATATAATAATGACAAGGTAAGGCGTAGTTTCGTTATATCTGTGTGCGTGAAACTGTGTATGTACAAGGCGAGGCGTAATTTTACCGGCCTCAGTGCGTTGTTCGGCGGGGCTCTGTCTTGAGTTTTTATTTCGTCTGAGAAAAACTCTAGTTGATTAGATGTAGATCTAGAACTCATGTACCGTCTAAAATTGGGATCACTGTGTCCATCTTTTTCTCTTACAATATTATGTAGTAGACATCCAATCTCAATAATTAGTTTTTCATGTTTAGTGTCTGTTTCGATTGCTTTGAGGAATATTCGCCACTTATTAGTCATTATACCATACACACACTGAAATTGTTACTCGTGCTCTTGACAAAACTTTTATTAAAAATGCTTTTCGAATCATCTAAAGCACTGGACGGAAAGGGCCGCACAAGATACCTTTTTAGTAGATAGGCTTCGTCGCCAACTAGGACGTGTGGCAGTAAAACATCTGACCCAGGAAAGGTTCTTGGCAGTGGAATATTAAATTGATTGTTAGTAAGCAATTGATTAAATTGAAAAATGAAATGTGCCTCCGTCACTTTGTTTTCCTTTTCCACCAATCTCAATCACAGAAAATTTATAATCTGCATCAGAAACTGTTTGTAGGGCTAATGAAAAATTTTTTTGTAATTATAATATTGGCTACCGCTCCGTGGTGGCTTCTGTATGCGAAAATGTTTTCCATCTATGGCTCCTATGCAATTGGGGAACTGCCATCTAGAGAAAAACATGCCTGAAATTTTACCTAAATCTTCACTTGTTAGTTTTGGTGACATATGCTGAATAACCAACTTTTTCCAAATTGCCTTTAAAGTTTGATATATCGTTATGGCGACGGTGCTTTGGCCTAGAGAGTATGAATGAGCCAGAGATTTAAAAGTTATTCTAACAGAGAGAAACCTGAAACACAAAACATTTTCTCTTTATGTACCTACACGTTTGCTCTCGTTATAATTATAATTTTTTCAAGTGCACAACTTATATGTTATAATAGACGTCACCCGCAGGCCCGCTGGAATTTCAGGATAAAATGTAGCATATGTTACTCTCCCGACCATAAACTAACTTCTATGTATGGTTGCCAGGTCTTAACACCGAAAAGCCGGACAGATCAGCGAACTTAGCTGGACATTTTGGTAAAAAGGCTGGACACCCTTATTTTTTTAGTCTTCATTTACCATAAAACCTTTTTGAATTGTAGTGAAATAACAACAATTACAACAGTCTTCTTTATTAGTAATCATGCAATATTCATTACAATATTAAATTTCAATAACTGCTATAATATGTATGTAAGTACATAAAAATGTAAAGAAATGGTAAAATCTCAAAAGCCTTACAAAAGCCGGACACCGTTTAATTAGGCTGGATACGCAACCAAAAGCCTGACTTTGTCCGCCTTTATTCGGACGCCTGGCAACCCTACCTCTATGCAAAAAATCAGGTCTATCCGGTGCTCCGTTGTAGCGTCGTGAAGGAAAGACAAACCAACCAACACACTTTAACATTTATAATATTAGTAAGGATTTAAATTAAACCTTTTTTGCAGTGAGTGATCTGAAAAAGAAATGGAAGAACCTGAGGGACACGTATAGTAAAGAATTAAAGAAAATACCTAAATCCCGGTCGGGCGATTCATTTTCGAATTATGAACCAGCCTGGAAATACTTCACGCTACTAGGATTTTTGAAAGATGAATACATGCATTTAACCGCCGAATCAAACTTAGATGTAGGGGACAGTGAAATAATCGATTCCGGAGACGATGATGATATATCTGTTGAAGTTTTATTAAATGAAGTAAGGTCACCACCTTCTCCTACTCGTACATCTTCACCGATGGAACCCTCTACATCAAGTTCAAAAAGAAAGCGACAAAATATACAAGATATTCGAGCAGAATATTTAGAGATTGAGAAAAAAAAACCAAAAATATTAGAAAACGATATCTCTAGAAATATACCTGTTGACAGTGAAAACAAAACCGGTGATTACTATTTTTTAATGAGTATTTTGCCTGAAATGGAAAAACTGCCTACTATACAAAAAATCAGGTTGAGAAATAAAATTAACCAGGCTCTTTTAGACGAACTAACTTATGGGCTACATGGTTACCCTTCTCAACCAAACCAACTAAATAATTCTAATAACGAATAGAGTACCTACACAATTAATACAGTTTAACCGATTATGATTATTCATAATAATGACTGAAGTAGAAAAGGCGGATTAAAAAGTTAAAAATTATTTTATTTTGGTTGTACGAAGAATTAATGCCATATAATTTAGATTATTTCAATAAATAACATAATTGTCTAAAATTATTTTCATTTCATGAAATCGACACTAATATCATAAAGAGGAAAGATTTGTTTTTTCGTATCTTTATAACTAATAAACTCTAAAACTACTGGATTGATTTCAAAAATTATTTCACAATTAGAATGTTACATTAACCGTGTGTAACATAGGCGCTATTAATCGCAAAGTATTTAAAAATTAATACCTACCCGTGCGAAGCCGGGATGGACCGCTAGTATTAATATATCTAAAGTAAGGTTACAGCCTTTATACGTCCCACTGCTGGGCACAGGCCTCCTCTCATTTCTGAGAAGAAATTACCATTTTTATATACTCCATTCGGTTCACGTATAAGAAATGAAGCAGAAACAACAGTACCTATTATGTGCGTTATTTAAGTCGTGATACGGTCGTTAGAATAGGGCTGTGCATTTGATGGGTCCTACGGCACCAATTCATTATTAAAACATCATTTATAACTATGACTTCTGTTTCCATTGTTAAAGTACAATCACCTTTTACTAGAAAGGTGACCACGTTTACGTTTTACGTTTTGTATTTTTGTATAACATCGGCGAGAGCAGGTAAGGTTGCCTTTTGTGACTTTTTATATTTCGTAGTCCACATCCTTTAGCGTTTGACTCCTGACGCTTAAACATTATGCATTGTATGTAATGCCTTAATAAGGTCATCATCAGCCCGTCAACAGCTCCCAAATGGCCGCTGGTCTCTACTACAGTTCGGAGCGTTCACCATAATTCAATTATTGGCAGATGAATTTAATAGCTTGTAAGACTTCTTTCTTGCTTAGGAGTCTGTTTAGGTAGGTGCCAATCTCTCCTGTCTCTCTTTCCTGCAGGCAAATAGCTATGTTTGGACTGCTGTGTTGCCATCTGAAGGGTATATAGAGCCAGTACAATTACAGGCTTTTGAGGCTTTCCATATTAATTCTCGGAGGCGACAACGCATCTGCTAGCATTCTTTGTTTGCACCTGGTATCAGGTGTCCATGTGCTGCAGTGGCACACACCGTCAGATGAACTGTGAGTTCATTTGTCACTTCAGTTTTATAAAAAAAATGTATTTTAAATCTTATTACACATTTGATAATGCTCTGCTGTTACTCTCTAAATATTTAACATCTGCAACAATAGGGTTGAGGCTTAATGCAGAGCCGTGGTAACTTAGGCATAACCACTCTCTTTCATTTTCATAATACATTAGAATTCCTGGTTCTAACACATTCAATGAAATTGTAAAACTTTAATTTAAAGTTCTAATTTATGATGTTCTCGGCGGTATAGATCATCTTAAATAAATACCTATATGTTTACTTAAGTTGGGGAAACGTGACAGAATCTGGGGGCACCGCAGTACCTCCGCCAAGTCGACCAAAAAGGCGACACGGCCGTACCATACTTTTCTCGAAGCAATTCAGGCCATTTTCGACCCCCTATAACTTCATAGTGGATAACTGAATTTTTGGTAACCTAGTTCCTATTGTAAGAAATTTCAAATTTAGAATACAATTAATGTTTAGTGTATAAATCAAGGAAAAACTAAAATAATTTTTAAATTAGATGGAGTAGTTAGATAGAGTTACTACGATATTTTTATTATTTAACGAGTTCTTTACATCATCTGAAAATGCTCTCAAGGCCGTCGTTGTACTTTTGTTTAGTCTAAACCCAAATTGAAATTCTGCAAATTTGTTTTTCAAGAAACATTTCGATTTGTTTCATCAATATTTTTTCAATTTTTTATTTATGATACTTAATATTGCAAATGGTCTGTAGTTAGTATATTCTTTGTGTGATCCATGTTTGTAAATAGGTCGGACGATTGCAGTTTTCAAATGATCGGGATATCTCGGTCGGATCGGGATTATCGGATCTTTGCAAATGCAATTATTTATTAATAAAGCTAAAATAGGACTGATATACTCTTTTACTAATTTTAAGTCCCGTACACGTATACCATCAATACCTGGTGACTTGTTGCAGTTCATTGAGTCAATAACTTTACATACATCCTCCCCCTCGACTTTCACAAAACAAAAACTTACATTACAATCTTTTACATAACTAGTTCTATGAAAGAAATATTTATGACACGAATGGTTTTGCAGTGAATGAATCAATGTACTTGTCAAATTCAAATTCAAACCGTTTATTGCGAATATAGATTGACACAGACGGTATTGCCATGGAATGTAATATTCATCACATTTTATTAGTTTTATATTAAATTATTTAAACATGCTTTAGTTATAATTGGAGTTTTAATCGGAGTTTATAATCAAAATTAATAGCAATAAGTCAATTTAGATAATATTATATGAGTCAAGTCATTTTTATTCTTTCACACTGTAGTATGCCCTATTAACAAGAAATTGATTCAATAGTATTTTAAAATTATCTTTGTTGGAACATCTCAAAGTGTAATGGTAAACCTAGTTATAAATTCGAGGGGCATACAAAATATGCTGTTGTTAAATTGGACTGTTTTTTAAATTTGGCTTGTATATGTATAATAGGTGTAGATAGATACGTTGTTGGTATTCAAGAAGTAGAAGGTATCGGAAAGGTAAAACAGTAGGACTGTCTTATCTACAAAAAGAAATGAGATGCCATAAAAACATAACTTGTAAAAAAAAAAACAAGTCTCGCAACTCAGTTCTTCTACCGTAAAAAGTTGTGAGATACATGTAAATACATTTGTAAAGATATTTAATAAAAGTTGATTTAAATTTGAACGTATCTTTCACTAACCAAATACATAAGTTAACTTAATATATATCATATACCTACTATGTATCTTCTTTGGTAAAAGTCTATAATATTCCATTTCGGTTCTATACTAGGCTGCACTATAAGTATCGGGAATGGAATATTTCCACTGTTCCTGTCATATTAAAATCTTTTTTAATTGAAAACTCCTTGGTTTTAAAAATCGAATACCGTTTATTTATTTAAAAAAGATTCTCGGTCTTGTCACAAGGTTTTGTCAAACTTATTTAGTCGTTGTCGTTGAGGAAATAGAATTGACTCGAGAAAATTCAAGAGCGATGATTTATTATGACTTTCGAAGTAGTTTAACACAAAAACAGTGTGTTGACCGGATGATTTCTGCATTTGGTGATGAAGCCCCATCCAAAATCACAATTTATCGCTGGTTTGCTGAATTTCAACGTGGACGTGTCAAGCTCAGTAATGATTCCCGTCAAGGTCGTCCTAAAACTGCAGTCACCCAAGAAAACGTTGATGCTGTGCGTAAGCTGATTGAGGAAGATCGACATGTGACATACCGCGAAATTCAGGCAACTTTAGACATTGGTATAAGTCAAATAAAAGTTAAATAATCTTGGATAAACAATTAGGTTTAAAAAAGTTGGTTTCCCGATGGATACCGCATTCGCTCTGTGAAGAGCAAAAAAGCGGCTCGCGTTACTTGGTGTGTCAGAACTCTCGAAAGATTCCACGCAGGATCCTCAAATGCTGTACACAATATCGTATCAGGTAACGAATCCTGGATATACGCGTACGAACCCGAAACAAAAAACCAGTCACGAGTTTGGGTGTTCGAAATTGAGTTAAAGCCAATAAAAATTGTTCGTTCACGGAGTGTTGCAAAAAAAAATGGTGGCCATGTTTGTCTCTAAAACCGGCCATGTTACGACTATTCCTCTTGAGGGACAAAGAACGGTTAATGCAGAATGGTATGCTAGCATTTGTTTGCCACAGATCGTTTCTGAACTCCGTAAAGAGAACTGCAACCGCCGCATCATCCTCCATCACGACAATGCGAGTTCTCACACCGCACACAGAACAAAAAGAGTTTTTAGAGCAAGAAAACATAGAATTAATAGACCATCCGCCGTACAGCCCCAACCTAAGCCCTAATGATTTCTATACTTTCCCTAAAATAAAGAAATTGCGTGGACAAAGATTTACATCACCTGAAGAAGCTGTGGACGCCTACAAAACGGCCATTTTGGATACCCTAACTTCCGAATGGAATGGTTGCTTCAATGATTGGTTCCATCGTATGGAAAAATGTGTCAAATTTCGCGGAGAATACTTCGAAGAGCAATAAATACATTTTTAAATAGTAATGTTGTGTCACTTCCTTGATTCCCGAAATTTTCAGGGCCGCCCTCGTATCAACCCTAGCGTTACACGCTTTGACTTAAGGTCACCGGCGCTTAAGCTCTCACACAAAATGACTGTGCCAATAAATTATAATTATAATTATTAATAATATTGAAGCGCCGCTAAAGGATGCCTTGAAAAATAAAATTGACTTATTTATATTGCCTTATTTAATAAGTTTGTATTTTGAACTTTTAGACTAAAAAAACGAAATTATTTTATGTTGTTTGATTGTGTATAATATTAGTTACATAATAAAAGAATTATTTTTATTGATAATGAGAGTGTGCGTAATCTGTAAAACTCGTTACCAAAAGGGAAGTGGTATAACATTTCACAAGTAAGTGAATTTGCAGCAAATATTAAACAAATTAAAACTATTTGATAATATAAGTACTTAAAAATTTGTTACTAATCTTAATATCATATATACCAACATGTGACTGTATATTACTGAGTTTTGATAAACAATAAAATTGAATAGGGTTGTCGAGTTCCTTGTCTATAATACTTATCGATGTTCTTTCCTACCCATATCTGTTAACAAAGTCGCCTACAACAGATGCTTATCAAATGTTTATTGATTAACAGGTTTCCAACTGAACCTGGACTAAAATTATGGCTTAAAAGCATAAATATTGTGAATTGGCGTCCGAAACAAAATTATCATATTTGTCCCAAACATTTCACAGACGACTGTTTTATT